CTGTCATGTAGGTCATAAAGTCGAACAAACTGAATTTCCCTCTGGTTTAATCTTTATTTCCCAGGAAAGATGAGAGACAGGCTAGTTGAACTGGGAGGTGTTCCCACCAAAGACCACAGAGAGGAAGACCAAGTAGATAGCGGAGAGGATGTGGACAGTGGTGAATTTGAACAGAATGCGGTGGTGTTCGAGGGTGAGGACATCATGGAGGGCACCTTCAGAGAAGTCCAATCGATCCAGAAAGAAATCGCCCAACTCCGAATGGAGGTGAAGAGACTGGGCAAGCAGAACACGCGCTTTCTCACCTCCGTCAGACGCATTAGCAGCATCAAACGCGACTCGAACACGATCGCACGCAACATCAAAACTAAAGGGGAGAACCTGTATGCTCAGATACAGAAGATGGATGCACTTTGTAAAGATTTGGAGGAGATACACGGAGCTCATTCGGCTTTGGCGCGCATGGTACGCGGCCAGTTCGTCTCTATAACGGGTTCTTTTCACGAGGCCATGAATGAATACAACAGTGCCGAAATGGCGCAGAGGGACAACTGCAAGTCTCGCATCCAAAGGCAAGTGAAGATCATGGGTAAAGAAGTGACTGGAGATCAAATCGAAGAAATGATCGAGACAGGCAAGTGGAATGTGTTTTCTGACGACTTGCTCACAGACGGGCGAACCGCTCGCTCAGCGCTCACTGAGATCGAGAATCGCCATAAGGAGCTTTTGGAGTTAGAGAGTCGCATCAGAGACATCCATGATCTGTTTTTCCAGCTGGCCTTGCTGGTGGAGGAACAAGGGCCCATGGTGGACAACATTGAGGCCAATGTATATGCCACCCAAGACTTTGTGGTCAAAGCCACAACTCAGATAAAGAAGGCTGTCAAATATAAGAAGAAAAACCCTTGTCGACAGCTCTTCTGTTGCTGTTTTCCATGTTGCAATAAATGATCTGTGTTGCCGCCTTCCATTTCACATAAGCCATACCATATTAAACGAACAACAGTCTTGCATGCTAGTGTTAACCCATGTCATGTGATTTGCTCTGAAGAGACCAACCAATGCCTAGTGCCTGAGCTTGATGGTTGTCATTGCGAAAAATGTTGTGTCTTCTTGTAAACCACAGGAGCTGCAATGCAAGTGAGCTGAAGTGATACTGCAATCTCACTGCTAAACTTCTGTGAGAGTCGCAGGACATTTACTTGATGTGTAAAAGATATTAAAAAGGAAACCGCAAGTAAAAAGTGTTTTACGCCCATGTACAGTGCACAAGCAAATATTATACAGAAACATGTTTTACTGATGAATCTACTGCTTTAAGGTACATTTGTGTATGTGTATGTATGGTTGCATTAATTTAATAAATATTTTATCTTTTAATGCATTTACGTTTGTTTGATCACCATATTGTGCTTCTCATAGGAAATTTGTGAAATACATAGTATTGCATCAGTGAAGGTTTCCCAAGTTTGAAAGTTACTTCTGCTATATAACTTGCAAAAGCCATTGTGTAAAAGTGTTTGTTGGTTTGAATATAAAACCCTGCAGTCTTATTTATTTGAACAAAAACTGAGAACTTTTTTTTTTTAATTTTTTTACATTGTTGCATTTTCATCAGAATCAGCGTGAGAAATCAATCTCTTTTGAGAACCACATTTACTTGCAAAGGGTTCAAGTCAACAATAATGCTTGTAAATCTCTCTCTGGTTTTCCAGGAGTGGGGTTTGAACTCACAACAACATTTGTCCATTGGATGTTAAATCCAACGCCTTAACCCAGGGGTGTCAAACTCATTGGAGGGCCGGAGCCCTGCAGAGTTTTGTTCCAACCCTGCTCCAACACACATACCATGTAGTTTTCAAATAAGCCTGAAGCACTTGAATAGTTGGATCAGGTGTGTTTAATTAGGGTTGAATCTAAACTCTGCAGGGCTCCGGCCCTCCAGGAATTGAGTTTGACACCCCTGCCTTAACCACCCGCCATCTTGGTCTCTGGTTGGCTTATCCCCATGGGGTTAATGCAATCCTCCATTTGAAAAATTATAATTATATGCATTTGCATTTGGTTGAATTTTATAGCAAGACGTAAACTGGGGTTAGACTGTTTAAGAGCTGTTGATGTATTAACTAAGCATGTCTCACCAAAGTTGTGACTTTTGGGGCAGTCGTGGCCTAATGGTTAGAGAATCGGATTTGTAACCTGAAGGTTACAAACCTGAAGATTTGTAACCTGAGTCTCAGGTCCTGCAGGAATTGTCAGTGGGGGGAGTGAATAACCAGTTCTCTTCTACCCTCAATACCACGACTGAGGTGAGACCCTTGAGCAAGGTACCGAATCCCCAACTGCTCCCTGGGTGCCGCAGCAATATGGCTGCCCACTGCTCCGTGTGTGTTTTTATGGTGTGTGTGCCCTTGGATGGGTTAAATGCCGAGCACAAATTCCAAGTATGGGTCACCATACTTGGACACACTTCACATCACTTCATTGATGTACTAGGCCAGTGGTTCTCAAACCTGTCCTGGTCACCTCCAACCACTGCATACTTTGTATGTCTCCTTCATTTAACACCTGATTCAACTCATCAGCTCATTAGTAGAGTATGCAAGACTTGAACTGGGTGTAGCCTATGAGGGAGACTACTTAGTTACTTGTTTCACTGTTGGTTATGTAGCTATATTGTCACATTATGCTTAAATGTTCTACCAGGAGTGGAGTTCGAACCCACGAGGACATTTGTCCATTGGATCTTAAGACCAATGCCTTAACTACTCAGCCATGCTGCTTCTGAACTTCAATTCTGTAGCGTTTTAGTAGTTCCGTAGTGCCTTCGTACCGTTTTTCTATATAATGAGCAAGTTACAAATGCACTGAATGAGAAAAAGATAAAATTGAGATATTATTTACACTCTGTTAGAGCCCTCTATTGACAGTCACCACTAGATGTCAGCATTGTATTTTTTGTCTCAAAAGAGAGTCACATGTGTTACACGAAGATCAAGTTTGTTTTTGAGTTTGACGTGACGTGAGGCTAAGTATGGTGACCCGTACTTGGAATTAGTGCTCTGCATTTATCCCATCCAAAGTGCACACACACAGCAGTGAACACACACCCGGAGCAGTGGGCAGCCATTCATGGGTTCGGTGCCTTGCTCAAGGGCTCAAGTATTGAAGGTGGGAGAGAGCGCTGTACATTCACGCCCCCCACCTACAACCCACAACCTTTGGGTTACGAGTCCGACTCTCTAACCATTAGGCCACGACTCCACCCCCCATATCAAGTAACTGGATTGTAAGCAACTGAATAAATTATAATTGGTGTAAGATATGGTAATAACTAAACTGTTGGTATGTAAACAAACATGCTCTAGTTGCTTTTCATAATAAAACACGTTTGGAGTGTTCTCGCTGCTGAAATGTGTAATTATTTAGCAAAACAAATTATTGCAAAAAGCTGGGAACAATTTGGCATTTTACTGAAATTGTTATTATAATGTTGTTATTTTAGTTTGTCTGGTTGCTGGTTTGTTTCAAGATTACTTTTCAGAAACCTGTTTGTTGACAGTCATACCTGTAAACATAATACTAATGCATGTAGAACACTTGTGTATTTTACCAGGAGTGGGGTGTGAACCCATGAGGACATTTGTCCATTGGATTTTACATCCAATGCCTTAACCACTCAACCATCCTGGTCACAGAACAAATTATGCCACCACTTGCCATGTGCCATCTGATTGGTAGTTCATACTTTTTTACAAGGAAAAGGCTTTTTAGTGGCATTCTAAAAACATCCTTCTCAGGTTTCTGATTTTTATAAAGAGAATGTAAGAATAACCTTTATATTGTTAATAAATCAGGCTTTTGTTCATCTCAATCATCATTGCATTAAATGTTTTGCCCCACAATAAAAACTAAATTTTTGATCATAAAACTAAGCATTTAAATGGCATCTTACTAAGACAAATTATTTGAAGATATAGAGTAACAACTGATATTTATATGCATTTTATGTAAGTTGACTGCTATACTGTTAAAGATCTTATTGATTTACATTACAAGCTATCAGAATTTAATCTTACTTTGTGGCCATATAAATATCACCAGCTGTACCAAATTGCATTTTTCCTCAGTTTGAGCCTCTGAATAAAATTGAGGTGTTTTTTCCTCCTCGTGTATGAGCTCCATATTGTCACTGTAAAAGTGCTTTAAAGTTTAAAAAGTGTATTTATTTCAGTTGTTCTTGTATACTCTCCAGATATTGTCTGCCTGTATTTCAAAGAAAAGAATCCAAGATATTTTTGACATTGATCATGTGACTGTTTGTACAGATGGTCAAATGTTCTTCAGAACATCTCAAATCATATTGGATTCATCAGGGTTTATTCTTGTCAGCTCTAGTGCTGCTGTCAGTAGAGCAAGAAAAATATGACAAACCAAATACTAAGATGTTCTGAAATCACACATCTTTTTATTTAATACATTTTGCAATGGAAAATATTGCATTTTGACTGTATAAGACTAATGGTCCTCACTGTATAAAGCAGTCTTGTTGTGTGGATACTGCGCCCTCGCCAAATCTCTCTCTCTCTTGCTTTCTCTCTGCCACTCACTCAGACTCTCATTCTCTCCTCAGCATCTTCACATCCAGACAGGGAGTTTTTGCTGACAAGGAAACAAGCTTTTGCACTGTAGTCCAACTTTCAATTTTCATGGTTCTGAATCACTCTCTCTTCATTGTTCAGTATCCCTTTGAAGATTAAAGTACAAGCCTGAAGACAGGACATCTCTTGAGTTGGATCTTTGTGCTGGCTTTGTTTGCTGCTTTGGAGAGGCGTTTTCTCTACTACACATTTGCAAATGACCTCTTACAGTAAGTTGGACATGCTGTAGGAGTATTTGGATCCACTTTCAAAGCTGAGATGATGTGCTAACTGTGCAAACATCAGGAGTGGAAATCCTTTAGGATGCGAATCTTAAACAAGCCCAACAGTCTGAAGATAATGGCTGTGGTGAGATCTTCACTGCAGAAAGTGATGCTTTTTCTACAACACATCCAAAGAATGGCTGTCACGTCACCACGTTATCAGAAACTGTGCAAGGTAAAAGAGTGTTTAAATTACTTTGTTTACTATGAAGGTGCATTTTATTCAGATCTGTTGATGAATGTGTGAATCATAGATTCTCAGTCGTTTAGAGGGTTCGGTAGCATCACAAGAATTGAAAAGTGCATTAACCAAGTTTTAACATTCAGTGATATTGCAAACAGATGCATCTGTGGCTAAACTGGAGTTTATAGTGAAACAAAGCAGCAGTAGCTTTTACAGTTCATTCATTGACTTGATCAGGAATCTTGTCCAGAAAGCCACAGTTGTTTATTCTCTAAGAAGTATTGTATTGTGTTTCATGAATAACACAGAAATTTGCATCTCAAACTTTAATGTAATCTCTTTAAAATCTCAGGTCTCCACCAGGAGTGGGGTTTGAACCCATGAGGACATTTGTCCATTGGATCTTAAATCCAACACCTTAACCAGTCGGCCATCCTGGACACAGTTTTAGATCAGGTTGAAGGACTTGATTAGTTGGATCAGGTGTGTTTGATTAGGGTTGAATCTAAACTCTGCAGGGCTCCGACCCTCCAGGAATTGAGTTTGACACTCCTGATCTAAAGTCTTATCAATTACACAGAGATTAGTGCATCAGTGACATTATATACATGTTTGGCTCCTCTGAACAACACTGATAAGTCAGCACTGTTTCTCATAATGCAATCTCATCACAACAACCCAGCATTACTTTTGACTATTCTTCACAGAGAGCATTACTTCATTTCATTGAAAATTGTTTGAACCCACGAGCACATTTGCCCATTGGATCTTAAGTCCAACGCCTTAACCACTCGGCCATCCTGGTCACACTTGCCCTAGTTCCTCTGAGTCTTTTCTTCTACGGTTTCAAGAAGACTGTTGTTCACAGAGAGATGTTGCATTATTCACAAACTGCAGCTGGCACCATATCTATGAGATGGCAAGAACATTAATGCATTGACATTTATGAACTTCTTCTTAATGTCTTCATCACCACAAGTGTGCCAGACTCTGATTTCTCTGACTAAAAGCAACCTTTATTGCTTATCTCAAAGACGCCAAGTTTCACAACTCTTTCGAAAGACTAAGTTAGGGAATTATTATATTTATTAGGCAAGTCTCTAAAAGCATTTTGTACACTTTTACAAACATTTTAATTGAGCCTTATAGTGTGGTCTCCATTTGGAATAAAATGGATTGAGGATGAACAAATAAATAAAAGAAATAAGAATAAAAGAAATAAGTTCGTTCTTAACAGGCAAGACAGTTCCAGGAGTTTAAAGGGGTCATGAATTGAGAAATCAACTTTTACTTGAGCTTTTGATATATAAGAAGTCATCTTACTAAAAGAATATCCGGTAAGTTTCAGAACTGAAAACGTCCTTGTTACTGAAATAAAAGCTTTTATTGACACCAGGCCCAGCAAACACCAGATCCTGGAATGTGCTTACCTATGACGTAATAGATAGGTTAAACACCGCTTCCTGATTCGCACATGACATAGTAGGGAAATAACATGAGTGGTGCTAAAAAGGATCGAGCAACCAAGCAATAAACATGCCGTAGAAGATCGCAGAATATTGTGCAGTGCCTGGTTGTGGAAGAACACAGTCATTGCATAACCTTCCTTCAGATTCAAATATTAGGAATGCGTGGTTGAACTTTATTTTTAATGAAGTTTCAGCTCACGTGAGTAAAACATTGAGCGTTTGTTCGCTTCATTTCACCGCGGATTCCTTTGTAAACAAGACACAGGTCGACACTGGATTTGCAGAGAGACTGAAATTAAAAAGCAATGCTGTGCCGTCTATATTAGATACAGTGCCGATCCTAGACTTCTGGGGGCCCTACGCAAAACTGCGGGGGTGGGGAGCGAGTTATGAATGAATGAAACGCCTTTGTCCGTGTTCACTCCGTCTCGAATCGCGTTCACGGAGAGCGCTTGAGAAACAGTGTCTCTTCCGCGGCTTGGTACGCTTTCAACTCGTTTTTTTTTTTTTTTGTCTCGAGCAAGAGTCTGTATGACATTAACGTTACATGATTTGACTGATTTTTACATAGAAAGGGCGACAGCGTACCGCATTAAAAGAAATGAACATTCATGTTTTCATAACCGCTGACCAAATTAAAAAACGAAACTAAAATGAAATCATCTTTGAGAGCAAGGGGGCCCTATGCAGCTTGCATACTTTGCGTATAGGGAGGGTCGGCTCTGATTAGATATGACAGGAAAGGCGCAGCACACTTATGTGAGTAAAAAATATTTGTACTATGCATCACTATTGCTTTGCTAGAGATCGCTTGATATGTCCTGATTATGTGTACGTGTCTAACCAAAGTCACAGAAGGCTCCAACTATGAAGGATGCAGCTTGTCAAACAGACACACAGAAAGTTAGTTTACTATGCAAAACTGTTATCCAATCATAGCAGTGGGCGTTTACTTCCAAGTCTTCAATGCGGCACGCCCATAGTGTTTCTCGAGCCGGTGTTGTACCGAAATCAAAACCAGGCAGAAAATGGCCTATTACTTATTGATTTTGATGTTTTTGAATGTAAAAAACATGCAAACGTCATAAGTGGACCGCAGACAACAGTATAAAATAATAAAAAAGCCAGTTCATGACCCCTTTAAATCTCACTAACAAGAATTAATATAATTTAAAAGCTCTAGATATTATGTTATAAATTTTCATGTTTTCAAGCATAATGCTCTCTTGGTTGAACAGCAAGTAAAAGCAGCTAAAGGCTATATTACAGTAATGATGCACTCACATGGAACTTCCAGTTCAGTAAGTGTTGATTCAGTAGCTCCGTTGGACTTGGAGTTGATTCATTAAATGAACGAATCAGACTGTTTGAATGATTAATTTAAATGGCTCATAAGAGTAATTTGTTTGTAAATCGGACTACACGGATCACGCTGTCTTTCCCTGCGTTCCATTCGGAAGGGCTCATCCCTATGCCCTAATTCCTTCAAAGGGTTTACCCTCCGGAGTGAGAGCTTCGAAGGGTTGAAGGGTGTAGGGGACCAAACAACTGTTTCGTGGTGCTAATCCGGATCGAACAACCAAGCAATAAACATGCCGTTAAAGATTGCAAAATATTGTGCAGTGCCTGGTTGTGGAAGGACACAGTCGCTGCATAACCTTCCTTCAGATTCAAATAATAGGAATGCGTGGTTAAACTTTTTTAATGAAGTTTCAGCTCACGTGAGTAAAGCATTGAGCATTTGTTCGCTTCATTTCACCGCGGATTCCTTTGTAAACAAGACACAGGTCGACACTGGATTTGCAGAGAGACTGAAATTAAAAAGCAATGCTGTGCCGTCTATATTAGATACAGTGCCGATCCTAGACTTCTGGGGGCCCTACGCAAAACTGCGGGGGTGGGGAGCGAGTTATGAATGAATGAAACGCCTTTGTCCGTGTTCACTCCGTCTCGAATCGCGTTCACGGAGAGCGCTTGAGAAACAGTGTCTCTTCCGCGGCTTGGTACGCTTTCAACTCGTTTTTTTTTTTTTTTGTCTCGAGCAAGAGTCTGTATGACATTAACGTTACATGATTTGACTGATTTTTACATAGAAAGGGCGACAGCGTACCGCATTAAAAGAAATGAACATTCATGTTTTCATAACCGCTGACCAAATTAAAAAACGAAACTAAAATGAAATCATCTTTGAGAGCAAGGGGGCCCTATGCAGCTTGCATACTTTGCGTATAGGGAGGGTCGGCTCTGATTAGATATGACAGGAAAGGCGCAGCACACTTATGTGAGTAAAAAATATTTGTACTATGCATCACTATTGCTTTGCTAGAGATCGCTTGATATGTCCTGATTATGTGTACGTGTCTAACCAAAGTCACAGAAGGCTCCAACTATGAAGGATGCAGCTTGTCAAACAGACACACAGAAAGTTAGTTTACTATGCAAAACTGTTATCCAATCATAGCAGTGGGCGTTTACTTCCAAGTCTTCAATGCGGCACGCCCATAGTGTTTCTCGAGCCGGTGTTGTACCGAAATCAAAACCAGGCAGAAAATGGCCTATTACTTATTGATTTTGATGTTTTTGAATGTAAAAAACATGCAAACGTCATAAGTGGACCGCAGACAACAGTATAAAATAATAAAAAAGCCAGTTCATGACCCCTTTAAATCTCACTAACAAGAATTAATATAATTTAAAAGCTCTAGATATTATGTTATAAATTTTCATGTTTTCAAGCATAATGCTCTCTTGGTTGAACAGCAAGTAAAAGCAGCTAAAGGCTATATTACAGTAATGATGCACTCACATGGAACTTCCAGTTCAGTAAGTGTTGATTCAGTAGCTCCGTTGGACTTGGAGTTGATTCATTAAATGAACGAATCAGACTGTTTGAATGATTAATTTAAATGGCTCATAAGAGTAATTTGTTTGTAAATCGGACTACACGGATCACGCTGTCTTTCCCTGCGTTCCATTCGGAAGGGCTCATCCCTATGCCCTAATTCCTTCAAAGGGTTTACCCTCCGGAGTGAGAGCTTCGAAGGGTTGAAGGGTGTAGGGGACCAAACAACTGTTTCTTGAAGTGCCCTTCTGTGTCATCATCACGTGCCCACACAGAGGCGCCGTCATCATGCAAAGAATCTGCGCAAAGGATCATGGGAGCCCGAAGTGTCCATCAGTTGTACCCTTCGAAATCCTTCATTCAGAAGGGCCCTTTGAAGTGGCCAGTTTTGAGCACTTCGGTTTGGAACGACCCTTTAATATGGCGGCCATGATTGTTTTCACTCCGAAGTGCCCTTCGGAAGGCGATATATCCCATTTGGAACGCACCGTTTGTGTTTTTGTTATAGTGCTTTTATCGCTAGGCTGTGTTGAGTTATAATAAAATAACTGGATCGAGGGTAATACATTATCAGCTTTCAAATATTAACCATTGATTTTTACAGTTATATTAATTAACTATCTTTCCACTTACAATATGTAATAGAGTTCTTCAGTTTATTGTCCTAACACCAGGAAGAGACTTTTATGTTTTGATCCAAGCGCAAAAGTGATCGAAGGGGTGGTTCCAGTTCATGAATTTCACATCAGATTGCTCGGAAATCCGTCATTTGCTGTGTCATTGTACTTATAAATAACTTGGTGAATGCTCTAATATGAAAATGTTGACGCTGGAAATCGCAGTGTATTTTTTCTATCTCATTCATTTTTTTATACTTGTGTAAATTTGTACTACAACCTCATTAAGGCATGCAATGAGCACACAAAATTGTAATAGATCTGATCAAGCTATTTCATGTTTTTAGCATCGTTAGCAGTAATAATGATGGCAAGTGTCATTTCATCCTTCATCTTTCCCAGCTCCACTTGTTAGCAGAACACATATTAATGGATTCCAGCATAATAAGCAAAGACTGTCTGTTATGTCTCTGTTTGATGACTTTCCTTGGCTGTATATCATCACTGTGGCCCTAAACGAGAGAGCTACATTTTTCTGATATAAACCAACCAGTCATTATGTCTGTGGAGGCTTTAAGGAAACTGTCACCATAAATTGAAGTTTTATGGATAGGAATTACAGCAGACTGTTGGAGGCAGGTGAGGTGTGTGCAATTTGAGGTTATACTTTATTTTGTAAGTAGGTAAGTGTTCTGTCAACCACAAATGTGTTTTGGAACCTGATTGTTAGTCATGCATTTTCCAGATTTTGTGACCCTGCATTAAAGGAATAGTTCACCCAAAAATGAAAATTTGCTAAAAATGTACTTACATTCAGGCCATCTAAGTTTGAGTAAGTCTGAGTTTATTTCTTTATCGGAAGA